CCTAGGGATTCATGGTAATTAATGTGCTTGCCATAGGCCAAGTGTGGACTCTTAGGGTCCTGCCTGGAGAGCCTAGCCATGGCCATAGCATTATGTGCTGTACACCTAGAGTGTTAATTCTTTGTTGATGTTTCGCTTTACTTTGTCTGAGGCAGGGTGTGCTGGCTAGTTTTATGTCAACTTGACACAAGCTAGAGTCATCTGAGAGGAAGGAGGAGCCTCAGTTGAGAAAATGCCTCCATAAGATCAGGCTGCAGGCAAGCCTGGAGGGCATTTTCTTAATTAGAGATTGATGGGGGAGGGCCCAGTCCATTGTGCATGGGCACACTCCTGGGCTGGTGGTCCTGGGTGCTGTAAGAAAGCAGGCTGATCAAGAAATGAGGAAGCCAGTAAGCAGCACCCTCCACAGCCACTGCATCAGCTCCTGCCTCCAGGTTTCTACACTGAGTTCCTGTCCTCAGTGCCTTTGATGATGAACTGTTATAGAGAAGAGTAAGTGACATAAACCTTTTCCTCCCTCCCCAAGTTGCTTTTCGTCATGGCATTTCATCACAGCAATAGAAACCCTAATTAAGACACGGGTTCTTACTTTGTAGCCCTGGCTGTCCTGGAACTCACCATGTAGACAAGGCTGGCCTTGAACTCACAAAGATCCACCTGCCTCTGCCTGTACCTCTGCCTCCTGAGTGCTAGGATCAAAGGCATGCACCACCATGCTTGGCCCAGTAATTTTGCATTGTTGTGGCAAAATTCCTGACAAAACAACTGGAAGAATGAAAGATTTGGTTTGGCTCACAGTTTCAGAGGTTTCTGCCTATCATGGCTGGGAAGGCATGGGCAAGAAGCTCAGTTCGTGGCGGCAAGAGTGTGTGGTGGAGGCTGTTCACATCACAGTGGAGCAGGAAACAGAATGGCAAGAAGCAGTCAGGAATAATAATATATGAAAGACCAATAGGCCCCACCACTCAAAGCTTTCAGAATCTCCCAAAATAGTGCCACCAACTGGGGACCCTGTATCCAACCCAGCTAACCTCAGCCAGCCCAGATATGGGGAACCAGAAATCCAAGAGAAAGCCACCAGGAGCTTCTCTGCCTCTTCAGATAAACAAAGCTGGGTAGCCACAGAAGCCAAGAAAGATGCAGCTGTGCCTGTCTAGGAGGTGCCTGCCCTGCCCTGCCCTGCCCTGTCTGCCTGTGGCCCCCTAGAGTGGACATCTGCAGGATGCAGGGCTAAGGGGCAGCTTCTTGAGAGCTCAGCCTGGATGGACAAGCAGCGGGTGAGGGATTTTAAAAGTATCGTCTTAGTAGTGTCCTGAGTTAGGCCTGTGTTCACAGTAATCCCCCTGCCAGAGTCTGAGACTCCCCTCACAGATTCCTCGCCTTGGCTCCTCCTGTAGAATGTTCCCTAGCAGGGGACCTGGAGGAACAAACACATCCAGGAGGTAGAGTTGTGAAGAAACTGAGGGTGCCCTCAACAATCCCAGCACTGTGACCTGCAATGGGATGTGGCCTCTGAAGGAGCTAATGAGCTCTGGCCACAACCCAGACACCCACCTGCCTATGGCTCTCTGCTCAACACATCCTGCCTGTCTTGGGGCCACCTTCTTCTTCTTCTTCTTTTTTTTTTTTTTTTTTGGTTTTTTGAGACTGGGTTTCTCTGTGACTTTGGAGGCTGTCCTGGAACAGCTCTTGTAGATCAGGCTGGTCTTGAACTCACAGAGATCTGCCTACCTCTGGCCACCTTCTTTTTTAAGGTACCACCTGCACCTTGGGAACTGAGAGCTCTTGTTAGAATGTTCAAATCCTTTACCCTGACTGGGGACAAACACACTGGGACGTGATAAATAGATACACAGACAGTCCTGGGCCCCTGATCTGGGCAGCTCATCTTCCCATAGCCACCGTTCTCCACTGCAGGCCTCAGGAGTGAGCCCTGCCAAAGCAGAGACTGGCCTAGCATTCCAGTCCCTTTTACAGTCACACCTCAGGCCACAGCACATTCTGACAATTACTACCCCTCTCTAGACCTCAGTTTCTCCTTTTGCACTGCGGCATCTGGGGATACACAAACAGAACTGAGGGCCTCTTGCTGCATTCCAAGTTGATAGAGTTTCTATGTTTTAGGCAAAATCGTTGCCCACGGGAGGCTTCCTGGGGAAGCAGCCCACTTCTGTGACTGAGGGGTCCAAGGCAGACACTGATGCAGGGACAGGGCCTCATTTATTTCCCTTTACTTGCTGAGTAGACAGGGCCTATATGATTGCTGGGTCCTGAACTATGGCTTTCCCTTTGGGCCTCAGAGAACAGTGTCAGGGCAATAGGTGCTAGACAAGATAGGCTCACCAACCCTGTGAGTCTTGCTCAGTTTGGGCCTCAGGAAATCTATAACTGTGCTTGGACCACCCACAGGCTCCCAGCCTCCTCCTAGCTGCCAGGGCTCACCTCTCTAGCTCCCTCAGATCTTAGTGTTTGCAAACAGGTTACCTAGGAGTCTGTGACAGGCCAGCAGCAAGCAACATTCTGACAGTCTTCCAGAAGAAAGGGCCTAGCGGTTCCACCTGGGGATAGAAACCCTATTCAAATGGCTGACACACCAACAGATCACTGGCTCATTCTGATGAAAAGTCCTGGCACAGACTGCCTCAGGAATGGCTGAAGGAAGAGTTCTCAAAAAATGACTCCAAGAATATCTCTCTCTCTCTCTCTCTCTCTCTCTCTCTCTCTCTCTCTCCCTCTCCTCCAGGTTTCATCTTCAGGAGGACTCTACCCTCATGCTGGTCAAAGGGCTGCCAGCAACTTCATTTACTATCTCACTTATATGGCCACCTCAGAAAGAGATTCTCCTTGCCAGGTATGGGGCTGATGCCCTTTCCTGCTCCAGCTGGTATAGGAGAGCTGGTCTCTGAAACCAGAGGTGGGCTCCCCGGTAGACAGCCAAGGTCCAGAAGCTTTGAAAGGAGTGTGAACATGCAGGAACACAGTGGCTACCCCTGCTGGCTGGGGATGTCAGGTCAAACAGCTGTGACAGCCCGGAAGGAGGTATGGAGGTCCCTGGGTGCCCCACCCAGACCCCAAGGCATATCAACAGCTACAAGTGGCTTTAACAGCCAGGAGACTCAACTCAAAGTGGCAGCAGCTGGGTTTGCAGGGCCGGAGCGCATACGTCCTGGGCAGCCAGGGGATCCTTTAAGCCACACTGTTTACCCTTATTCTTAGAAACAGGAAGTGGGAGCTTCCTGAAAGCAAGCTGATGTCATCCACAAGCCCCAGGGTGGCTCAGGGGCCGACCACTTCCAAAGGAGTATGGCTAACACCTCATGCACAGAAGCAGTCAGTCTGCAACTTATCTCTCTGGCCTCCCTCTCTATTCTCATTAGGCTTTGATCCTCAGTGTGAGCCACCATCCATTTATACAAGGCTGTCCTTGACTACAGGTCCTTGGTACCGAAGGGTCATAAGCCTCATTTACTGACTCCTCCTGGTTCTGATCCCTCCCAGGTGCTCATCCCTTTCTTGCTCTCATCCTTCCCATGAGATCATCCCTCCCGTGCTCTCATTCCTCCCGTGTGCTCATCCCTTCCTTTGTGCTCATCCCTCTCGTGCTCTCACCCCCCCACCCCGCCCCCATGTACTCTCAACATCTTCCTGGGGGACTCTGAAGGGTTTAAACTAAACAGCACAAAGCAGTTCTTAGGACTACCACAGTTTCATCTGGATAGTGATGCTGGCCTCTTTCTTTGGCCATGAGCCACAGTCAGAGTCTAAAAGAGGAAGGATAATGGCTGTCCTCAAAATGATAATTCAAAAAGAAACACTGGGCAGGAGAGATATCTCAGTGGTTAGAACACTGGCTGCTCTTTCAGAGGACCCAGATTCGATTCCTAGTACGCACATAGCAGCACATAGGTGATCCAGTCTTCTGGCCTCCGCACGTGGTACACAGACATACACATAGGCAAAATACACATAAAAAAAAAAAAAAAAACCCAAAAAACAAAAAAAAAAAACTTTTGAGAAAGAAATGCTTCAGAGACACGAAAGGACTGACAGCTGAGAGGCCTGGGTGCCGCCCTTGGCTCTGGCCCTGCTTTGCCGGATAGCCTTGGGGAACATG